ACAGTCGGTTTCGCCAAGTGTTTCGATAGTACTACTGCATCTACGGGCCTGAAAATTTTACTGGCAGACGCGCCTGAACCCACTACAGGTGCGAAAAATCTGCTTTCTCGAAATAAATGGTCAAATATCTTTCAATTTTTTGCAAAACCCACCCAAAGTTGCCACATTGTCCGTTCTGGTCGGGTCGACAAACTAGCTCCAGCCCGCGCCGGAATTCCTCTAGCTCATCGATACCGAAGAGCTCTACGAGGTTGCGCTGTGTGTGTGTGTGTCCCCAGTCGTCTCTCAGGGACTCCTGTGGACCGGACCTGTCAGGGCCAGGTCCGCTTGGCTTTCAAGAAGGTCCCGATGATTCTCAGGTCCTTCCACGATCTCCTCGTACATTTTGGCGCAGCAGACTTCAGAAGGGTTTCGCTTCTTTTCTGAGCTTCGCTGTGGTAGAACTGTTAGTTCATATTTTGATTCGACACTGCGTCCTGCTCTGAGGAGGAGGCACACCCCCCGTTTCCAAAGGCACGCAGCCTGACAGTCGAGAGACAGAGAGAGAGAGAGAGAGAGGGAGGGATAGAGAGAGAGAGATAGAAATAAGTACAGTGAAGCTTAACGAGAAAAAAGGAAAAAAGGAAAATATAAGGATATATAGAAGGGATGTGATGTGGCGAAGGGTCTGACCGCAAAGGAGTGCGCCGGGAGGAGCATGATCATCTCCCTCGAATGCCACAATGCTGTTGCGTGTTGAGTTAGTCAGTTAGTCGCATCGCCACTGGACAATGCAGAACGGTGAATGTTGAGGCGAATCGGGTGAAGCACAGAAGGCGAATGAGACGAGACCGGGGTCGGGTCGGATGGGAAGCCATGCGGCGCGTCGAGGAGCTCAGCTTCGGGACGCCACTCTGGGCTCAAAGCGTATTGCTGCCATGGGCGGTCTACGAGGGTAGGGCCATTCCCTTGGCCTTGTCCTTCCTTTTTCCCTCCCGCATCTCCAACGCCGTCCCGCCCAGTGCCGCCCCTGCTGCTGCTGCTGCTGCTGCTGCTGCTGCTGCTGCTGCTGCTGCTGCTTCTACGTCAGAGTGAGGAGGCCGAACGGTCATTCGCCCCCGCCAGAAAGCGCTCAAAACATCCGCGATAGTCTTTCTCCTCCTCGTCCTCGTCCTCAGCGTCGTCCTCCTCCTCCTCGGTCCGTGGGTGCGTGGCTGAAATGAGATTCCGCGGCGCGGATTCTGCTTGTCTCTTGCCGTTGTTTGTTGTTTCTGTTTGTTGTTGTCGTCGTCGTCCTCGCCCGCGCCCCCCCCGCGACCCACCCCGCGTCCCACCCTGCGGCCAATCCGCGACCCAGCCGTGACCCACCCCGCTTCCCGCCCCCTCACTCTGATCCGCAACTGCGGTGTGCTGCGTAGCTATTTTGGCTCAAGCCTGGGCGAGCGAAACTGGGCGTGGCTGCGCTCACTTGGGCAGTGGCGAGGAGGGTCACCACCGTGTACCAGCAGCCTGCTTTTGCACCCTCGACGTTGCAGCGTCAGAGCGGTACGCCCCAGGCTTGCGAAACGGAGAGAGACCTTGGCAAGAAATGCTTGCGACGGGTCGGTTTGCATTGCATACTACGCCTTCGAGATACGATTCGGGCCCCCTTCGTCGAGTAGAAAAGTGGGTGCCCTCCCAGAGCTCTCGGGTTGTCATCATCGCAGGCGAGCCGATGGTGCACATCCTCGCCTGCGGTCCAGGGGGAGAGGCGCGTGCCGACGGCCCCAGCGACGCGCGATGTCGGACGCGCTGGAGGCCGGAGGTTGGTCACACATTTGGGTAATTCGGACTGAACGAACGAAGTTGTGTGACATCATTTTCGCGGGCGATGGGCCTGGGTTTCTCGCGATATCTGAGGCATTCCAAAGAGGGCCTTGCCTTCGAGGATCGAAGGAGTTACCATCTCTTCCTCGGCGGAAGGCAGCGGAAGGTCGGCGGAAGCAAAACCAGGCCGCCTCCGCCGGCGGAAGCTCGGCGGAGGGCGGCGGAAGTGAACATGCGTTCCCAAGAGATGAAAACGTTTGTGGGTTGAGGGCTTTCGGAAGCGGACATCTGCGCGGGGCGGTCTCCTGGGCGAGGGGGCGGGCCTGCCGGCCAGTCCTGCGACACCAGTGGGGTCCGTGGTGTGCGCTTTCCTCCCCGCGCCCTGCCCGCAGGGCAGAGCAGCGGGACGGTTCCCAGACAGGGTCCTCCGGACCATCCAGGGGCGCGGCACGGAGATGCCTCTCTGAGGTGTATCGGATGCAACTCTTGGGAGGTCAAATTCAGACTTCGCCCTTGTCCGAAATCCGGCTCATCCTGCTTCATCCCGCTTACTCCGATTTTATCCCGCTTAATCTGGCTTAATCCCGTTTAGTCCGCGGCCTAATTTGGCGTAGCAGCCCGCCAATCAGGCTCAATTCTCTTTCATCCTGCCGACGAAGACCTCCCAGTAGTTGCCTCCTGATGTAGACCCGCAGGGTTTTCCCGTCACCACGCTCCTGTTCGGCGTCGTACCCTCAAATCTGGGCGCCGAAGATCAGACCGTAACGGACGGTGTGTGTTCCAAGCATGCGGCCTCTGCAATGTTTTCCTGGTCCAGCTTTGGGACCATCCTGGAACAACTCAGGATTCAAAGTTGACCCCAGGAGAGGGCTCGAGAACTCTAAGGGGCCCACAGCACGAACAACATCAGACGTTGCGGGTTTGGTCCCCATGAGATTCGTGTGCATCCCGATCTGTCCACAAAAGGTCCACAACGCATCAAAGCGTTACGGCGACCATTGCTTCGCACCTCATCTGGCGAGATGTGGGCCCGCCCTCTGAAGTCATTCCCGGTTTCGGCCTTTGCGCTTTGCTTCGGGATCGCCCCTCGCTTCGAACGGGCCGCGTGCGTAGTCTAGGACAGTGGTTTGCTCTCTGCTCTTTGCATGGCGGAATCCAAATGGAACGAGCGTGAAGAAGACCAAATATAGCATCAAACAATTTGCATTCGCATTGAGCAGGAGGTCGCCCTCCTGCTCATTTACAGATGCTTATGATGCCTTTCCGTCTCTTGCATGCCCTCTTCTTGTGCGTCTGTTTACGCAGCAATTGTATCAAGTCCTATTATCCTGCCCGTCTCATTCCACTTGCTTCCGCTAGTCCTCCCCGTGTTAGTTGCCTCATTGTCGTTCTCTGATGTCTCTTCTTCCTCATCCCCTTCTGGTACCTCATCCTCTTGCCGACGTTTGTTTGTTCTTCCTCTCCCCCTCTCTTTTCTCATCGCGTCTCATGGTCGACGGATCGGATTCCCCGTAGTCGTACCTCCTTCTCCTCAGCTCCTGCGCTCTCGCGTGCGGCGGCCCATGGCGCGGTTCCGATGCGTCCTGTGCTCCATGGCGCACGTCGGGCTCGAGCTCTTTCCGACTCTTGTGTTAGCAGCCTCGAGCTAGGGGGCGCACGATTAATGGATCGTGATGACATGTTATATGGCCAAGCCTTAGGTTTTGCAACTCGCGTTCATCATGGAACCGTTGGCCATGTTGTTTCTTCCGTGTTTGTCCCGTGGTCCGTCAGGAGGCCCGCTTCCACCAATGAAACACCTGGCCTCGTGGGGTGGGATTGCCATCGCGACGTTGTGCTTAATAAGTTCTGGAACCCCATGGGGCAGGTCCGAGGCAACTTCTGATTGCCAGATGAAGCATTGTGTGAGATTTGATTGCTAGACTGACTTCGGCGGGGAGAAGTGGACCAACGGTTTCGTCGAGCCGGTTTGAACAAAGGGTGGAGAGTTTGGTAGTATAAGCAAGTTGTGGCCAGTGACAGTTGGAAGTAAGAGTGGGGGGATGCGACATCGAACAGAGCAGAGTGTCAGCAGCACGGGTAGTCGTAGCAGTGTCAGTGGCAGTAGAAGAAGTTGTAGTTGTAGACATGGCGGAACCAGCAGCAGCGTTACTAGCAACAGTAGTCACGGCAGCAGCAGCAGTAGCAGAGGCAACACCACTAGCATAAGCAGCAGTAGTAGGTTGGCTTGTTTCCAGACAGACGGCAAGTAGCTCACGGCAGCACAGTGCGATGCGATTCGCAGAAATGCTCAGTGTGTAGAGCCAAGCAAAAGGCAGTTGGCACTCTCGATCCCAACAGCCAAGCGTAACCTTAGCCACAGCTCTTTTCAGCACCCTTGGTCGTGCTAGAATCTTCCGTGCGAGAGAGAGAGAGAGAGAAACCATTGCTGCATGGCCAGCTCGGACACGAAAGTTTGTGACCACACGGCTACGCATTGCCCAGCGTGCCCGTCACCCTGTACAGGCCTCCATCGACAGTAACATCCACCACCATTTCCAGAGACGTATATTGTTCTACGCCGACCGTTGCGTAAAATTGTTCTTGGCTGCGTGCTGCATCGGAGGCGGTGAGGTTGGGGTCTGAAGTCGAGTCTGACCGATTTGGTCTCATCACAGATCGCGTGTTGGGTGGCTTGTGTGTGTGTGCATGGCGCCCAGTGGCTAGAGCACTCCCAGCCCCCAGGCCGACAGCTGCGCGAACGTCTTGGCCCAGTGGTGCAATGTTTTGTTTCGCCGCATACCGCAGCGGCCAGAACAGAACCCAGTATGGCTGTCACATTACTCGGGTCGAACAGCCACGCGTTGCCTTAACCGCAGCTTTCTCCAGCACGTTCCGCTGCTGATTTCTGTTTGGCTTGGGTTGGTGGGGCGGACGATGATACGGTGACAGCCAGACCACGGCCAGAGGGCAAGCTGTCCGCGATAGCTACCAGCCGCTTCACCACACAGCGTGCTGTAATCTACCATCGTTGTCTCGTATCGCTCTACAGCTTCGAGCCGTCGCTCCCGTGCGAGACACGGTTTTCTGTAGCGCGCGGGGCACCACGGTTGTTGACAGATGGGCTAAGGACGATGTTGAAGAAGAGAGGCAGCAGCAGCGGCAGGCCAGAAACATCTAAGTCTTAGTTTGTGCCGTCTTCACGTTCTCTCGCTCTGTGCGTCCCCTGCTTCGAGGCTCCTCGCCATCCACGTGCAGCTATCAGCCGACGCTGCTTCCCTCGAGCAGGCACTTACTGCAGAGGCACGCGCGGGGACGCAAGCATGATAAGAATAGAGAGGTAGCGAGAGAGAGAGAGAGAGATGAGAGAGAGAGATTAACAAACAGAGGGGGAAAGAGACATGAGAGAGAGCGAGAGAGATAGACAGGCGGAGATATGAGAGACCGACGGACAGACAGACCAGCAGATGAGAGCTTAGAGGGACGGAGGGTGAGAGGGGACGACCCGAGGGGGAGAGAAGGAGAGAACAAGAAAGACAGAGAGAGAGAGAGAGAGCACAGACCAACAGCACGAACATCGGCAGCACGACGGCGAGGATGCCGAGGCATGCCGGCGAGGAGGTGGACGTGGGATGCCCGCGGTTCGACCGGTGCGGGTGCCTCGCAGTCGGCCGCCTCGCGGCTGGCTCGGCTCGGTCGGTTGCTGCGCCGCGGTGCCCCGCTCAGTTAGCTCGGCCGCGAGCGAAGGGGGGGAGTGAGAAGGAGAAGGCCCTCTCAGACGGCGTCGGGACTTCTCAGAAGCCCTCGCGCCTTCTGAAGAGTCTTTTATTGTCTTCGGGGAAGGCTCAGAACACTTTTCAGAAGGCCAGGGGACTTCTTCTGAGAAGGCCTTCTCCTTCTCACTTCCCCCCCTCGCTCGCCGCCGATTAGCCGCTTGCGGCCTGTCGATTTCGGTCGGTTTAAGTCTCGCTGTCGGTTCTGGCGGGCATCGGTCTTGCTGCCGCCGTGGGCGGCCTTGGCAAGGGAGGGGGAGGGGCGGCCCCGCCGGCATCGCCACTTTACCTCTTTGGGGGGGAGTGGGTGCGGCCAGGTTCGAAGAAGAACAAAAACATATAAACATAAACTTTGCATGGCGGCGCCTCCGGCGCCGCCCTTGGCGCGGTCCAGCGCAGATCCTAGAAATCCGCGCGGAGCGCCAACAGTTTATGTTTATGGCGATTGTTCTACTTCTACAGGTGTCTTCCCCCTGGAGGTTGCGCCGTCCCAGGGGCCGGACGAGACCGGCGGTCTTTCCAGCCGTGAGTGCGGTCTTGTTTTGTTTGGCGTTGGCTTGGAACGTGTCGCATGACACCTAGCTTCGAGCCTCGGCGGATACGGACCAAGCACCATCAGACATGCACATCCATTCATGCGGCACTGCATGTCTCAATCCTGCACTGCATGACGTTGCAGCGATGCCAAGCGAGGGGGGGCCTCTCCCGAGAAACAGGACACTCGCTATCAGCATCAGCTTTCGGAGGTTCGATTGCGTGGACCTGCGCACTGCAACCCCGGGGCGCGCTCCGCGCGCCCGCCCGGAAGGGGCGGGGGGGATACGCCGATCCCAAGACATCCGCGCGGACCTCCCAAGACGTGTGTGCGTCTGCGCAGGCCGTTCTGCTCTGTCTGCCCCATGCCCTCGCAGCGCCACCGAGGCGGGCTGGCGAGGTGCCGCAGAGTGCCCCGCGTGCGCACGTGGGGCCTCGATCGGGGCGGGGAGCTCCCAGGCATCCTCCGTCGTGCTCTTCTTCGCATCGTCGCTCCCTTGGGGTCTGGAACCGCTTCTCATCGCGAGACGTGTCTTCTAGAGATGGACTATTCAAAAATAGTCAGAACACAGTCTGGGGACGTTGTTTGGAATAATTGTCTGGTATTTTTGACTGTTTGGGAGTATGTATTGCATATGTTTTATTTGTCCTCCGAAATCCGCCTGTAGGAGGAGGACATGCCCGACCCAAAGCCATGCAGATCCGTCGCATCGTACACACACACGCACACACACGCACACACACACACGCACACACACACACACGCACAGGCACACGCACAGGCACACGCACAGGCACACGCACAGGCACACGCACAGGCACACGCACACGCACACGCACACGCACACGCACACGCACACGCACAGGCACACGCACAGGCACACGCACACGCACACGCACACGCGCACACACACACACACACACACACACACGCGCGCACACGCACACGCACACGCACACGCACACGCACACGCACACGCACACGCACACACACACACACACACACACACACACACACACGCGCGCGTGCCTAAATGTGCACACTGATGTGTAGAAAGCGCCGGATGCGATGTGACGTCGCCCCGCGTTGACCGCCGCGCCGCGGGCACCTCAGGGGCCGGCCTTGGCACCCCGAGCCCTCTGACGGTCCCGAGAGGCCGCCCAGCGAGGGGCCCCCGAAGAGGCCGAAGGAAACGGGCAACGCTTGTCCGTCGCCAGTCGTTCGGGGGTGGGCAGAACCCCCACCCTGACACGTCGATTAGTGAATTTCGGAGGGACGCCAGCAATACACCACCACCAGCCCTGGCCAGGTCCATCCTGGGCCCTGGACTGGTGTACAGACCTCCAGGCATGGGCCAGGAGAGCCCGTACACCAGTCCAGGGCCCAGGATGGGCCTGTCCAGGGCTGGTGGTGGTGTATGGTTTGGAGCTCTCCTAGAATTGTCCGTTTTCGGTTCTCGCGAGGGCGCCGCGGCCGTCATTTTCGGGGCTTGCGCCCGCCAGGTCTGGGCCCGAGGTCGTTTTCATTGGACCACGTTTTACTAAAGGGAGTTCTGTTCATCCCCGAGTCGTTCGCATCGGGAGGATGTCAGGGCTCATCCAGCTCACCCGTGTGCCAGGGGGCGGGCGACGCGATGTTCGGCGAGCTCGGGGGCGCCACGAACGTGTCAGCCGCCACGGGAGTGCCCGTGGACGACGCGGGAGAGTCTCCAGAGGAGGAGGAGGCGCCCCGATGCTTCGCGCGCGTCACCTCGAGCTCAGGGGGCTGGCCTTTCCGACACTCGCATGTCCCCCACTGAGAGTTGCATGTCCCGAATCGGACTGAGTGGACTCGCTCACGTGGCCCGTTTCTCGAGGGTCGGAGTCCGGTTTGCGGTTGTGAGTGCGGTCGAGACGCCGAAATCAGGACCAGTCAGGGTTCGGAAGGGGATCGCTGCTCCTCGGGCCCTTCCGCGGTCGTTCCTCTGCCACGCCGCATGCACCCCACCCGGGCGCCCGCAGGGGCCGGCAAAGGGGGATCCGTGCCTCGTGGCAGCAGCCTCGGGTTGCTGCTCCAGAGCCCAACGAGAGTCTTGCGGCTTGCTGGTCGAGGTCTGGAGCCTCGGGGAACCGCGCAGAGCCTTGGACTCGTGCCCAGGCCTCCTCCCTGCTCCTCCTTCGCATCCTCCTTCCTCCTCCCTACTCCTCCCTACTCCTCCTCCCTCCTCCTCCCTGCTCCTCCCTACTCCTCCTCCCTCCTCCTCCCTCCTCCCTGCTCCTCCCTCCTCCTCCCTCCTCCCTACTCCTCCTCCCTCCTCCCTGCTCCTCCCTGCTCCTCCCTGCTCCTCCCTACTCCTCCCTCCCTCCCTACTCCTCCCTCCCCCCTCCTCCTTCCATTCCTGCTCCTTCTAGATAACTTTGAGTCGGGCCTGTCCCTCGACAGGAGGAAAATTTAACAAACAAATGGTCAAACAATAGTCTGTGGACGATCTTTCGACCACTTCTGAGAATTTTTGGAGTATGTTTGGAGTATGTTTCATTAGCTGTCCAAAATCCCCCTGTAGGGGTACAGGCCCGACCTAAAGATAACTCCTCGCTGTCGCACCCCGAGGCCGGTCGAAACGGCGGCCTGGGCGTTTCGCTTGAGACTTCCTCATAGTTTCTGATCCTGAAGCTTGAAGTTTGCAGTCGCTTTCCAGATGGAGGCTCTCGCCAATGTTTGCAATGTTTGCGCTGCGCACATTCGTGTCCAATGTTTGCAAGAGCTTGACGGATGGAGTGCGGCCGGCTTTCAAAGTGTGGTTATCGCCACAGCTCCGTGCCCATTCTCTTGAAAAGGTTGCGAGAGCTTCACGGATGGAGGGCGGTCCGTTTTGAAAATGTGGTTTTCGCTTGAGCGCCGCGCACACTCGTTTTCAAAGGGTTGCAAGAGCTTCGCGGATGGAGGGCGGCCTGTTTTCAAAATGCGGTTCTCGCTTGAGCGCCAGGCACATTCGCTTTAAATATTTGCAGGAGATTCACGGATAGAGGGTGGTCCGTTTCCAAAATGTGGTTCTCGCAATAGCGCCGCGCACATTCGTTTTTGAAAGATTGCAAGAGCTTCGCGGATGGAGGGCGGTCCGTTTTCAAAATGTGGTTCTTGCTTGAACGCCGCGCACATTCGTCTTTCCAAGAGTTTCAAGGATTCTCATGGGCAGCGTCTCAGAAATTGTGCTTGGGCACGATGTCAGAATTTTTGGGTCCAACAGTCACGTTGACTCGCGGTGCTGAAGTCCCAGGAGTGGTGTCCTGTCATGGTTCAGTGTCGTCAAGGCGCAACAGGAACGGTGATTCGCGGCGTTGAAGGCCCAGGGATGGTGCTCGGGCATTTCTTTTAGTGGGAATGAACTTGTGTTGGAGGTTCTGAGCTTATGGAGAGGGAACTTGGAGGGAGGGTGTATTGCAATATCGTTGCTGAATCTCGCGTTTACACTGGTCCCTCCTCCTCCTCCTCCTCCTCGCCTCGAGCGCCCGCCCGTGTTGCTCCAACGTGACGTGTTGCCTCTGCGGTAGGAGGCTGGCCGGCCCGCTTTTGGCTGGACTCGGTGCACGGGCGACCGGTTTTGGTTTAGGTCTCCGAAGTCAAGCAGTGGCGAAGCGTCCCAGCTCGCCTATAGCCCCACCGAACAATGTTCTAAGAACCTTTTGTGGTTCCCACGAAATGTTCTTAGAACAGTTCTGGCTGGGACTGCCTTGTTTTAACACATCGGGTTTATGTTCTAAGAACATTGTTCTTGTTCTTAGAACAAGTTGGGGTTCTAAGACAATTTCGTGGTATGACTATAGGAATACTGGGACGGTCGGTCCCTGCTAAACCAAGTGGGGTCCGAGCAGATGGGGTCGGAGGATCGCGCCGCATCGCCGGTGCATCGACGATGCGGCTCGGTATAGAGGCCGATTTCCTCCACGCCAACACCGCCGACGCATCGCCGATTGCGCCGATGCATCGGCGATGCTGCGCGATCGTCCAACCCCATCTACTCGCTCCGACCTAAGAGGCCTCTGGTTGGGGGGCGCACGGCCGGCCGGCTGAGCGGAGAGCAACCCAGAACCATGCCGCAGGCAGTGAGAGGAGTGTCCTCAGGTCCGTCGGAGCCCCCCTTCAACCTTGAACACGAGTCTGTTTTTGTCTGGGCCCAGCGGGAGCCCGGGGGGTATCGGGCCTGGCCCCCCCCCTGTTGATGACCTGACCTTGACGGTTGCGCAGGCCCGAAGGTGGTACGCAGCACCAGAGCACGCGGGCAGACGTGGGGCCGCTCAGAGCGAACAGGTTAGGTCATCGGCCAGCACCATCTGGGCTGCCGACGAAACAAAAAAAAACGATCTCGTGTCCTCATTTTCGGTGGAGCCCTCCTCGACACTGAACGTTGTGAGGGATTCCACCGAGGACCCGTGCGGCGCAGAGCCGCCGCCCTCTGCCGCGTGCGCAAAGCGCACGGCGCCGTTGATGCTCCCAGGCAGGCCCAGGATGAGGATCAGCGGCGCCACTGCGGCAGAAGGCCGAAGGCAGCTTCACACAGCTCGCGATGGGGGTTGCCAGCATGTCGGGGACTGCTGAAGGTGCCCCTGACCCAAGGTGCCCCCCAGCTTTTCGCCAAAGATGTAGTTAGCCTTGGGGCCCTCTGGGCCCCGTGATGGGTGCTCTGGAGGCCGTGGGGGCCTCCATGGAAATCCTGGAGGCACCCAGGGCAAGGAGCACTTCTGGCAACGCCCGAGCGTGGGGGCCTGGGCGGCCCCACGATGGGAGGCCACGATGGGTCACCGATTGGGAAGGCCTTGCGGCCGGTGCCGCCGACCCTGAAGGGGGGCGACCACGACGGCGGCGTCGGCGGCGACGACAGCGCTGACGTGGGGCAGAGTCCTCAGGGATGCTCCGTGGGGCCTCTCTGGAGCGCGCTCATAGGCCTCTTGGGGGCAGCTTTGGAGCCTCTTGGGCACCTCTAGGGGGTCCCTTCGGGCTTCCCCGGGGGCCTCTTGGGGGCCCCTTAGGGCCTCGTGGGAGCCTCTTGGGAGCCTCTCGGGGCCTCCTGGGAGCTTCTCCAGGCCGAGGGCTCGAGGTGTTCGTTCGGGCTCCCGTGTGGGCTCCCTCTTGCAGCCATTCCGGGGGCCTCTTGTGGCCGTCTGGGAGGCCTCCAGGGGCCGTCTTGGGGACCTCCTGGGTTGTTTTTGGGGCTGCCTTGGAGACCGTCTTGGGGGCTCTTTTGGGCCGCTCTTGCTGGCTGCGTGGGCCGTCCTGGGGCGTCGGGAGGCCGAAAAGGCGAGAACGCCAGCATCTGTCAAATGCCAAAATCATTGAACGTTGCCTGGTGAGGCCCGTTTCGGGGGCTCCTGGAGGCGTCGTCGAGCGTCTCGGCAGCCGCTCGGGCCTGCAGGAGTCCACCTTGGGCGTATCGGACCGATTCTTTTTGGCGATTCGGGGCCCTCTTAAACCGTCTTGTGGGCCGCTTGGGCTGTCTTGGACCCCCCTGGGGAGGATGGTGTTCTGACCCGGGACCCCTCCCAGGGCCCCTCCCAGGACCCCCCCCCCAGGACCCCCACAGGACCCCTCCCCCACCCCGAGGACGAGGTGATCCAAGGGAAGGGGGCTTCCCTTCGACTCCACCACGACGCTGCTCGATTTCGCTTTGGTTTCGCTTTGGCTGGCTCGCTTGAGGAAGGGGGGCCAGTGAAATGGGGGGCCAAGGGAAAGGGTTGTCAAACGCGACGACGACGACAAGGACGACGACGACGACGACGACAAGGACGACGACGACGACGAGGACGACGACGACGACGACGACGACGACGACGACGACGACGACGACGACGACGACGACGACGACGACGACGACGACGTCGAGTCAAACAGAACAGCGTCTGCCGCACGCCGACGGTCGGCGGCTTTCGGGGGTGTGGCATACCTCACAGGGCACTACATGAAGTATATGGAGCCCTTCCAGGCACGCTGCTTCGGGAATCGCTACAGTGCTGCAAAGCCTTCCGAAACGCTCTCAGAACGATCCAGGAGCGCTACGGAACGACCTTCGCGCCCGGTGCGTCCTCCAGACTCGACGGTTCTCAGAGACTCTTGGCTCATCCTCATCCGGCTCGTCCGAGATTGGAAGAGGGGGAGCTGTCGGCTTCTGCTGATTGCCCACCAGGGTCCATTTCGATCCCACTCGACGTCGATTCGGTGTCGATTTCGGCGAGCCCGCTCCGACTTGGTTCTGGTATGCAGACGATCCGAGGCAGCCCGATGTTTCCACCGCGCTGCTGAGCATCCTGGCACGGCCGATCCGATCCGATTCCGACCCCGTGCCGATGCGGCCCGATCCGATCCGATTTTCGGAGGGCGCCAACAATACCTCTAGGCGTCAGCTCGTGATTCACAAACGATGCCTCCCCCCCGGGGCTGATGAATAGACCCCGCGGGGCGTGAAACTGTCCTGTCAATCACGCTCGCGACGGCTCGGAGGGCTCGGGATGCCACCGCCACCGCCTCCCTCCGCCACCGCCTCCCTCCCCTCCCCCCCCAGTCCGTGGCCAGCTTGGCCCGAGCGCCCCGCTGCAGCGGAGGCGCTGCTGCGCATGCTGTCGCCCTCTCGCCAGCGGCCGGGCGTCGGCGCTGATCACCGGCGCCGCGGTGGTGCGTTTCCTTTCGGCGGGTGCCCCCCCGCGATTTGCCCGAGCAAGGAAACCGTTTGTTCCAATCACGCGTTTTGCTTGC